TAACCCTCCGCTCCAGAAAAATCCTTCTTCAGAGCCCAGCTTAAATCCCATCTCCTTCAGTCAGGCCTCAGGCACACCCATCCCATTCCCAGGCAGAGGGAATTATTCTCTTCTTTTTGATTCCATGGGAATTTTCACAGTTTTCTGCTCCTTTCACTTTGTGTATAATAAGTGATCTGATTGTCAAGTGTGAGCCAAGCTTTTCTCATTTATCTGATTAATCTTTGTGTTTGTGGTCCTTTACAAAGAGTATGGCATATAGTTGGTGCTCAGTAATGTTCTTGGATGGATTACTAAGTATGTCTCTCCACATAACTAACACGAGTCTTCTAGAAGAGGGACCGTCAGTCAAATCCAGCCTCCACCTGTTTTTGTAAATGACGTCTTGCTAGAACACAGCCACACTCTTTCAGTGACATGCTGTCTGCTTTCATGCCACACTGGCAGCGTAGTTTTGACAGACTGTGTATCTCACAAACTTAAAATATTTACTCTCTGGCCCCTCACAGGTAGAGCTTCCTGACCCCTCAATCTAAAAGTTTATTTTCTTCCACTCAGCATTATTGGATAAACTCTGAAAATGGCTTAATCACTGGTTCCCATTTATCTAGAATTTTTTTAAAGTAATACACCAATACTTCCCTTGTCTCTGTGGTGCAGTCAGTTAGCATGTTTGGCTGTTAGCCCAAAGGCAATATGCCATTACTTTTGGTCTATCGAGTTACTACAAAGTTGATTAAATTACAGCTGTAATTGATTGTAAGCTTGGGGACAATACTCTGGTTACTCTAATTGGAATCAGGTGTTTTCTAAACTGTGTCAATGCCACTATTTACAAGTCATCATTTTTTTCTTATATTTGAGGGACTTCAGTGGAAATTGGGATATAAAGAGTCCCACTGTAACTTGCTAAATGATAAGCATCTAACTAAACATCAGTTAAATTAGAAATAAAAGATCTTTTTCTTGAGATTTGTAAAACAGGTTATATGGCAATAAAAGACATGACAATATTTTTCTCTTTCCTATTATTTGAGCAGCCTAATACTAAAATTATTTTGGTCTCTAGGCTTACATGACACCTGGCCTTTGTTCAGTCAAGTTTAAATAAATTAAGCACTATCTGTTTTCTATTCACAATTACTAGAGATTATTATGCTAAGTTTACATGTGTTTATTAACACATTGCCTGACACACAATATGCCTTCAAAAATATTCGTTGAATTAATGTTATGCTAAATAGAACCTGGCTTTTTTAAAGCTTTACAGCATTTCTTTCTTTTTTTTCTTTCTTCCTTTCTTCCCTTTCTTCCTTTTTTTCTTTCTTTTTTTCATTCCCTCCTTCCCTCCCTTCCTTCGTTCTCACTGTGTCACCCAGGCTGGAGTGCAGTGGTGTGACCAGAGTTCACTGCAGGCTCCAACTCCTGGTCTTAAGTTATCCTCCCACCCACAGCCTTCTGAGTAGCTGGAACTACAGGCATGTACACCCATGCCTGGCTAATTTTTTTATTTTTTGTAGAGACAAGGTTTCTCTATGTTGCCCAGGCTGGTCTCGAACTCCCGGGCTCAAGCGATCCTCCCCCCTCAGCCTCCAAAAGTGCTGGGATTACAGGCATGAGCCACTGTACCTAGCCCTATTTCTTATTAATATGTAGTATTGGGCCTCTGTAAGTGTAGATATAGTAAGATTATATCATTGCTCAGAGGAGAGAGATGTTGCATCTACCTGAAACTGGTAAGCAAAACTTGACAGACAAAGTATAATTAGAGTAACCATGGAAGGACTTAAGGAGAAAAAAAGTATAGGTAAGGAGTGCATGTAAGGTAGAGAGATGGCATGAACAGAGGCAGGCACACATAATACGAATTTAAAGGAATGGGCTATCCCAGCTTGGCTGAAGGAGTTTGTTTATGCAGGGTAGAGTGCTTACACACAAAAGTGAGTGAATGGGTAAAGTCTACAGCTCCAAAATGTAAATATCTTAGAAACCTTACCATATTACTAGGAAACCACAAGATGTTTGAGCAGAGGAGTAAAAAGGAAAAGACGCAAGGTATGGGGAAACTGAGTTAGGAGACGCTGTGAGGCGATGACCCCTAAAGAGGAGCAATAGACAATGACAGGAAAGAATGAGACAACAACCCTTGACACGTCGCCTAGATAACAGGGGGAAGAAAGTGAGTTTTAATTCACTTTCATCATGGGATTTCGAGCCTCAGAACATATGACCTCGTTATTAGCAGAAAATAGGAAATCAGAAAACATTATGGGGGAATATGATTAACTCATTTTTTTAACAGGAGGTCATGAGCTCAGGAGAGAAGTCAGGGCTGGGAGATAGATTTGGGAGTCCCCATCATCAAGTGTCTTATTACGGTAGATTGAGGAGAATGCAGGCCAAGAATCGGCCTTAGGATTTAGCTATCAGGAGATCATTTGTTACCTTTGACAATGAAAACCAGGTTGCTGGAGCTTAAAGCTGGAACACCCAGTCTGGGGGCTCAGACTTCTAATTGGTCACAAAGGCAATATTGGAAAGATTTCAAAAAGCCTAATGGAAGTCTTACATAAAGCTAAGTAAATAAACAAAAATGGATGTTTCTTTTTTCCTGAAATCATACCAATCCAATGTTGGTTTTCAGCAAACTGGAAGTTCTGATGTGCATTAAAAATGGATTTGGTTGATTTAAAATGGGAAAGTACATTACTCTTTATTCTTACCTCTTCGGCCTTGTGGACAAATTCATTTCAGCATTCCTTGGAACACACTTTGGCAAAAGTGTGAGATAATGATGTGAGGTTGTCTAGCAGCAGGCTCTGTGATGGGCAGAATCAGGCTTTTAGTCCCAAAATGTCCAAATAACTGCAATACTCATAGGTAACAAAGTGTTTCCGTGTGCATCGTCTCAGCTGGTCTTCTCACCACTCATTATAACATCTCTCAGCTACCTCTAATTCAGAAAATAATTAGGCAGTCTCCTTTTAACTTTGCACAGTCCTAGCCATTAAAAGTTGCTTTAGGATTGATCTGGAAGAAGTTAGAACTTTCTTTTCTTCAGCCTCTCTTAGAAAAATTGAAATTCTGCTTTTTTAAAATGTCCGTTAGCAAAATCGTCTTGTTTATGCCGTGTCTATGGATTTTTTTTTTCACGTGATTGTGTCACATCTGTGGCAATTTAATTTAGTGACCTGGCGAGTAATGATGCAAATATCCGTAATAAATATTTGAGGATTGAAGTGGATTTTGATACGGGCATATTTCTGACTCTTATATTTCATTATGTACATTTCAAGGAATTGATTATTGAAATCTGAGTATCATTAACTGAAACTATGAAAAGCTCATTGTTAAAAATCCTTGCAGTGGTTGTCAGCGTCCTGTGCTGCTTTAGAGCTTTGAACCCAGACTCCTAAATGAGAAACGTGTGTGCCCTTCATGTTTTTTAAGGATGTATGTCGATGGGTATTTAGAAATTTCTCCCAAGGTACACAATAATCTTAAACAAAATAACCTGCAAGGCTAATTGAACACTTTCTTTTTTTTTTTTTTTTTTTTGAGACAGAGTCTCACTCTGTTGCCCGGGCTAGAGTGCCGTGGCGTCAGCCTGGCTCACAGCAACCTCAGACTCTTGGGCTCAAGCAATCCTACTGCCTCAGCCTCCTGAGTAGCTGGGACTACAGGCATGCGCCACCATGCCTGGCTAATTTTTTCTATGTATTTTTAGTTGTCAGATTAATTTCTTTCTATTTTTAGTAGAGACGGGGTCTCGCTCTTGCTCAGGCTGATTTCGCACTCCTGAGCTCAAACAATCCACCCGCCTCGGCCTCCCGGAGAGCTAGGATTACAGGCGTGAGCCACCGCGCCCGGCCAAATTGAACACTTTCTTGGGACTATTCTCTCTGTACTCCATGCTACAAAGTTCCTAGAAATTTTTAAAAATTTTTTTAAAATTTTAAAAGATAAGAGACAGAAAAACAGACACCAACAGACAATTAGAGAGGAATAATTTCACCCATAAAAACACACCAAATTTAAAACACCGTTTGTTAATCATCTCAGATAATTGGCTATGCTGAAACACAACACTGAATAGCAGCCTTTGCTGAATAGTTCCAGGTAGAGCCGCAGGAGTTATCTACGTTGTCTGAGGTGGACTCTAGTTCCCACACTGACACTGAAAGCCTCTCTTCTGATCAGTTTTTGGCATTGGTTGGAGGGTCCCCATCCCCCAGCAGCTGCTACCCTTGAGTGCCAGCAAAACTGAGAGAGACAAAGATCAGTCAGCTCCAAGTGCTGAGGAGATTCTGGCGTCTTCCACATCATGGGAGGCCAGCCAAGGTGTGCTCTGACCCAGCTATTAAGAAGGCCCTTTCAAAGATATAAATGTTTTATAGCTGTGCTTGCTCCTGCTTAAAAAGTTTCTGTATGTTCCACCCACCTTTGTCCCAGGCCTGGCTGTAGGCCATGAGCAAGGGAGAGACAAGAAGGGAAAACTTTGACTCTCACTTTCCCCCTAAGTCCCCCAGACTCCCAGAGGTGATGTTCTGTACGGGGCATTGGAGCTAGAGGGGCAGTGGAGTGGGTTCCTGTCAGAAGGCGCTAAACCGAAAGGCAAGAGAGGTATGGAGGACAGAGCCTAGGCACTGAAGCCAAGAGTTGGAGCCAGAGAAGGAACAAAAGGAAAGTCACGTTGGCCCCTGCTTTGAATGAAGAGGATGATTTGGTCGTGTTTATTCTTGCTTATCTTGTTCATTCCAATGTGTTTGAAGCTAAAACTCTTGGTGATGAGTGTTGGGCTTCTGTCCAACAGGACCTCTCCTGCTTAACTGAATCTTCTTGAACGTAGCTGTGTTTCCCATACTTACAAAAAGGCATCCATTATTTAGTTTTACGGTTACGAATTTATGCAAATCCCTTAGATTTACAGATGCACTGAGTTTTGACTTATGGCTTTAAAAAATAATAATTGACCTTTTTCATAAATATATATATCCTAGATGGTGCCAAAGGTCCCAAATCATTAAGGGCATCCAGTTCGTTGGTGGTGCACGGAGGAAAAATTAAGCGGAAGTTTGTGGATCTGGGGTAAGCACTTCATGATGTAAAAAGCAAGCCCTCTGTAAAAAGAAGACTAAAAGAGGAAATTTCAACTCCCCCTCTCTGTGTGCTGTCATTATAGGGCACCTTTGCGAAGGAATTCCAACAAGGGAAAGAAATGGAAAGAAAAAGAAAAAGAAGGCAATAGGTTTTCTGCAGGTAGCAGGTATGAGTAGGTGATAAAGAACACAGATTTATTTCTATACCTAAACTTTCTGCCCCCTTTTTCCATTGTTAACCAAAATCAGTGGTCAACATCTTTGAGCTAAAGTGATATGCCTAGAGTTGAGATGAAAAAAAAATGCACAATCAGTTTATATTTGTCTTACTCTAGTTATAGCCTGCATCTGGCCTTGGGCATATCCATTGGTTATTCATTGCAGAGTTATGGTCACATGAAGAGTTTCAATAAATGTTTATCTAAATACAGCGTAAACATATCTATGCATTACTTTAGACATATTTCAGATTTTTTGCCTGACTACCCACAACACTAGTGCTTTCTCTTTTTGTTAAGTCTGAAAGAGTAATTTTTCATGTAAGTACCTTGTTGGCATTCAAGACTGCCCTGCCCCATATGCGTGTAAGAATGACCACCATCTCAAGTGGACTTAGCTATTTAATTGATTTTGCAGGCACTGTCAGCTATGCTTACTGTTCAGTAAGTAACACTTCTCTTTTCTATAGAGAAGTGAGCTTTGAACAAACAACATGTTGTCAAGTTTTCCCAATCTTATTCTGAGACTACATAATTTTAAACTTAGGTTTGTACAGGGAGACAGTATAACATAAAGCTCTGAAGTCCAACTGCCTGGGTATGAATCACAGCCCTCCCACTTATTCCTCTTAAATCTTGGACAAGTTAGTTACCCTCTGTGCCTCCATTTTCTCATGTAAAATGAGAGTAATAACAGTACCTACTGCATAAGATTAGTGTAAGGATTAAATGAATTTTTATATAAAGCTTTAAAATGGTACCTGGCACATAGGAGGTGTTAAAAAATAATAAAGTTAACAAATTGCTGCTATTATTATTATCATTTGCAAGTTACAAGTAGTTTTATCACTTCATTTGATCCTTACAATAAGATTGGGAGGGTAGATAATACTATCAGCCTTTATTGAGGAAGAACTTCTCCTTCTTAGAATTTAATTGAGTTGCCTAGGGTATGCAGCAGGCAATTACTGTCAAGCTGGGGCTTGTGCCTCCTGTCTAGATAGATGTCTTTCCAACACACCGCGCCACCTCTAGTTACTTATGTATCTAATGGTGCTTAAATTTCTTTATGAAATTTAGAAATCACCTCAATAGCATAGACAAAGGAAGAAACAGAAAAAAATTGCTAAAAATAAGAGACCGTAAAATCATTTGAGGGTCATTTACCTTCTTCATTCGTTGTCCCCTGCTGTTTCCTTTTTTCTTTTTTTCTTTTCTTATATACACCTTGGTGAGAAATGTAACTTCTCCTTGGGATTACAGGAGAATGGGATGGGGGATGAAGAGAAAGAATTTCCAAATTAATTGTTTTTGTCAGTCTGGGTTTCTTTTATGCTATACAGTGGAGAAAGGGTAGAAAGCTCTCATTTTAAGGAGGACAACAATCTCAGAAAAAATAAAGGTAAATCTGAAGCCATATGCAACCCAAAAACAATGTAACTGTGCATGGTTTTAGAGTGAGAAATAAAAAATGGTCTACTTTTTGCCTTAAAGTTAAGAATACAAAACTATCAAACATACTCAGGAAAAAATAAAAACAAATAATGAAACCATTTAAGGGAGAGAAAGAGATGCACAAATATACAATGGGAGAGAAACTCAGACACATCAGAAATGACACTGCCCTTCCCTTGGTCTCTGGGCTCAGAAGCAGTCAGTGCCTCTCAGCTTTGAGGCACCACCTAAGATGGATGCTCACACTGACAGCCAGCAAGGAGGTGAATGTTTAACTCAATTTCATCATAGTAGCCAGAGATTATCACTTTCTTGTATAAATTCCAGGTAATAATCAAGCAAATCTTGATTGTGTTGGTGAGCACTCACCTTTACTGCAGGCAAAACCACAGATAGTAGGTGGTCATCAGCATACTGCCTTACCACAGCTCATGTCAGCTTCTGGACCCTCAGCTAGGATTCTAGCTTGGCTGCTTAGCCATCTCTATTTTTTTTTTAAGATAGAGTCTCACTCTGTCACCCAGGCTGGAGTAGAGTGGCATGATCATAGCTCACTACAGCCTCAAACTCCTGGGCTCAAATGATCCTCCTGCCTCACCCTCCTGAGTAGCTGGAGCTACAGGTGCATGCCACCATGCCTGGCTAATTTTTTTTTTTTTTTTTTTTTTTTGGTTTTTTGTAGAGATGAAGTCTTGCTATGTTGCTCAGACTGGTCTTGAACTCCTGGCCTTAAGCCATCCTCCCACCTCAACCTCCCAAAGTGCTAGGGTTATGGGAATGAGCCACTGGGCCCGGCTCATCTCTGTACTTTTAAAGCATTAACTCTGGATTCTCCCTGCTTCAGTAGTCACAAATTATGCCACATGCAACAACACTACAAAATAGTTTTCAATTAGAGTCATAATTTTACAATTATTTATAATTACAGTAGAATTTTAGCAGGATTGAAAAGAATTCATGTAATTGAAATAGTAGAAGAACAAGGGAACAAGAGGGCTATTTTCTGTTTCAAAAATATAATTTTCGAGCTATCACAGCAGTCGGTTAAAACACTAAAAAAAGAAAAAATCTGATGACAGCCTCTGTTCTCCAATATGGATTGATAATGGGCCCAGAACTTTATAAAACATTTTCCAGGAAGAACAGAATTACTGCTTAATAGAAGCTTAATGCAATTGAGTGGGTTTCACAGGCCCCCTGAAAGTAGGTGGGCTATAAGTGCCATTAGCTTATGGGGGTCACACCGTAATTGTAGAGCAGTACCAGGAGTAAACTCACCACCTGGTGAAGCTTTCTCAGAACAAGGAGTAAAGGATTCACAGATTGAGTTGGTAACCTTATCTTTTAGGCTTTTCATCCAATTCTTATTAGATTGTTAAAAAATCTGATGAAATCAGTCAGTTATAACCTGTGGCTGTTAAATTTTAAAGAGGCAAGACTTTTGCTGAGTTTGGCCTTGGTTTTAGTTTTTTTCTTCGCATACAGTAAAAAGTTTACTCTGTTGTGTTCCTTGTGGATACATAATGTCTCAGATTCCTGACCAACATGAGACAAATGGAGAAATTAGATGAAGTTAATAATAACAAATAAATAAACCCAATAAGAAATATGATTTGTTTCTATCCCTTTTCAAATATGTCTCAGTGAACATTCTGATTTAAACAGGTGGCACAGCAGGTAACAAAAGCAGGAAACATTTAATTGTCAGAGCTTGTTCATCCCTTAAAATATATACCAAAGGGTAAAATAAAATACTATTCTAAATTCTAGAGTAAGTAGCCATTGATGTCAGTGAAGTACCCACTTTGGAGCTCTGTAGAGAAGTTCCCAGTTTGGTCACTGAATGGAAAGCCCTGTGAGCAGATGTGTGTATCTCAGGTGAGGCCAGATGGTGGCATGTTGGGAAAGTGATGGGGAAGGGAGACGGCACTCTGTGTGGAAGTGAATTAGAATTCACCTTGAAAGTGTGATCAGTGGAAAGAACACAGAGCTGGAATTCAGGGGAGTAGTCCTGACTTTTCCATAGACAAGCCTCTGAATCTCTGGGACCTTGGTCTCCTATCAAAAAGTGGATTGGACTAAGACTATGTGGTCTCTAACTCACCATCCATCTCTGTATGCACTGTCCAGAATGGTAGCCTCTAGTCAGATGTGGCTTGAAACATTCTGGTCTCTATTGAGATTTGTGTAGGAGAAAATGCATGCTGGATTCAAAGACTTAGTATTAAAAAAACAATGTGAGATATCCTATTAATAATTTTATAATATTGATTACATGTTAAAATAATATTTTATACTTGGAGGGTAAATAAAATATATTATTGAAATTAATTTCACCTCTTTTTTCACGTGGCTACTAGAAAATTTAAATTTACATTGCAGTTTATATCATATTATTTTGGATAGTGTTGATTTGTAGGATTCTGTGAAAAACAAATCCTCCTTTAATTTCTAACTCATTATTCACTTGGTCTATAAGTTAACATGTATTCATTTGTTGTTTATTCTTTTACGTATATTCCACTCTTCTTTGTTCAAAAATAATTTGTTTATATACAAAAGTACATGTGCTACAGCAATGTAATTTATTTAAAAAGTAAATTGAATATAGAAAAATAAAGCAGTAAGTAAGTAAAGTTGGTACTTAAAATACAACATCATCAATAATACCTTCATAGTTAGTAAAACACTGGCCTTTCAGTGAAAGTCAAGAGCGCGATGTCAAAATGGTTAAAAGCCTAAGTTCACATTCCAGCTCTGCCACTTATCTTGGACAAGTTGCTTAATCTCTCTGTGTCTCAGTTTTCTCATCTGTAAAATGGAGACATATGATGCTTCTTTGGGTTGTTGGGAGGATTAAGAGGGTCACATTCAAGTATATTTCAAGTTCTTAATAAATAAAAATGGTTATAGTTACTGTTTATATTTAAAACAAGTTTGATGAGAGGGATGTAAACCAAAGTATTTTTCTCCATGTATGTTTTGCCGACAGTCTTGTTCAGCTAAGGATAACTTTTTTTATATCTTGAAGAATGAATGGGCTGTAGGGATTATGCTTCAGGCAGTTCTTTATAGGATGATATTTCTCTCAAAGAGGCTTTAGATAAATCATGGCATGACAGTGAGATTGAAATTATATCCTGTGACAAGTCCCTGGAGGGCAGCTCTGCCCTGTTACTGAGTAAGGGCAGAGCCCCTGCTTAACAGTTATCTGAGCTGGGTGGAAACACACCCTTTTAGAAGAGTTGAGGGTAAAGATGAGCACTTATGTGAGTAGAAAATACCTCCCCTCTGCCTAAGCCTGGTCCATTGAAAGCAGTCATTTTCTTGGAGACCTTTGAATAATGTCAGCTTAGCCTTTAGTGCAGACTTACTCTTTCATAACTGTCTGTCCCATTTTCAGCTGCATTTATCATTTCAATATTCAATTTTCTTTTTAAGTACTTTTTAAGTACTTCAAGTGCCTGAAAACTGACAAACTTACATTCTGAACAAGGAAACACTTCCCATACTTAAAACAGCTCTTGTAAATCTAAGAATTTAATACTATTACTGTAGTGACTCTAAACATCCCAATACAATTATCAGTATGTGTACATTAAAACACAAATCTAAAATGAGTTTAAAATTTTAAGATAGACTCAGTGGACAAATTTCTCTCTCAGATTTCTGCTAGTACAAATTTTCTTAAATACCTAAGCAATATATTTATCATTCCTAAACTAAACATTTATGTTTTGATGGTATACATTGTGTTTACATGAGCCTCGTGCTATTTCATTTTAAACCATCCCAGACTGGGGAAGACTCATTAAGGGAATAGTTTCACCACCTCAAATGAGTTAAGGCTGAACACTCTATAGTGACCACCTCAGATGGACTGTTGGTTATTGATCAGAAATTCAGGCCAGAATTCATGATATAGGAGCAAGATATGTCCAGGGTGGTTGGCCCTGAGCTGCAGATGGACACATGTTTCTCAAAGCTGTTATCCATTAGAGTCTCCAAGAGCTCTTTTGGTAGCGCTGGCTTTACAACCTCAGTCTCTTTGGTGGATGTTAGAACCTTACAGAATTACTTCGTTTGATTTAGATGAATGAAGTCTGCAACTCTTCCTCTGGTTGCAGCTAGCTTTCTTCAGTTAACTTCCTTTACTCCCTGTTTGAATTCTATATTCTTTTTATACTTAATGTGTTCTGGTGGTTTCTGAACTCTTAGTGATATTTTGATGACATCCAATTAGATTCTGAATACTTCGCATACCTATATTCAAAGTTAAAACAACAACAACAACAACAACAAAAATCACCATGGACTGTTTAGCTGAGCAATTTAATTTTGGAGGGTCAGCCCCAAGTAAAACTGATTTCAAGATGTATATAAACAAGTTAGTTGCTCTGTAGAGTTATTAGACATAAACCATTCAAATGCCAGGAAACAGCTACCCTCCAAGTGACATCTTTCGATTATGAAGACTGAATTTGAAGCCATTCTTTGTCCCAGTTCCTAATAATAAAAGTATCAAGGATATAGCAGTGGCTTGTGATTCTATTTTTTCCAAAAACAATAGCAAGCCATACAAGTATAGCTAAAAAAGAAATAAAGGAAGTGTAGAACATACACCTATTTTGATCTGAAAATTATTTTCAATTCCATCAAGAGTTCATTTTTACCAATATTGATTTGGGGGAGGAAGGAAGAAAGGAGAAAAAGAGAGAAAGAGAAAGGAAAGGAAGGAGAGAGGGAAAGAAGGAAGAGGATATGAAAAAGGAGGGAAAGAAGGACTTTATGTTGTTTCTAGCAGATTTCTGCACAAAATAAAAGGGACTGTAAGAGTGGTCAAAATAAAATAACTGCTACCAAACTCTTTTTGCTCCTTTTGTAGGCCCAAGAGTTCAATTTTTCCAGAAGGAAATTGACATTTATTTTAGAAAGCATGTCTGGTAAGCTGATAGGACTATAATTTTAAAGTGATTGAGTGATTCCTTTTGAAATGACTATTCTCTAGGTCCAAGCGAATGGAAGCATACCACTGTTCAGTTATTTAAGGATACTAGGAGGCACACAAGGGTTACATCAGTTCATGGAGTTTTAAAGTCACAAATACACAAAGAAATGAAGGAGACAGGATATAGCCTTAGCAGGGGCACAGATGGGCCTCATGGGGAACTGGAAAATGCTCTTCAAAACACCCTAGAATCAGGCGGTTTTCAACTGTGGAGACACTAGTCTCTTGGGCTCTCATCGCTCTCTATCTGACTCTTCCTCCATTCTGTGCATTATCTTGGTGTGTAAAGCTGGAGGAAGAAAGCCTCTGGGTATCACCAGAAGCCAAGCTTCTGTGATCTCCTTGACCACAAGGTGTAAGAACCACGTGGCCTCAAGACCTGTCCTCAGTGCTGGATACACAAGTCCACATGGAATTACTGCTCTTGAATATTTTCCTGGCAGTTAGAATTTTGGGAAGGAGTTTAATTAGATGGCCTATTTATAAACTTTAAAACAGTATCCATATATTTAAGCACTACCATACTTTATTGGAATTGTGAATGGAACTCCTAAAAAATTCCCCTGATTCAGAAATGTGTAACCAGAGGGGATAATGATCATCAGGTCCAGTTTTTCCTCACATATGTCCAATTATTAGGGAATGGGACTACAGAGAAAATATTTTTATGTTTCTATGCAGTTAGGGCTTTCTGAGCATCTTTACTGGAATGTGGGACCTAAGCTAAAAGACAAGCCTCAAAAGTTAAATTATGACTGGATAGTGAGAACTCCAGAGAGATTTCCCTCCCCAGAAGTATGTGGTTACATTTGAAGGGGGTAAAGTGGAGTAGGGAGATGAGACCCTGTTCCATGGAGACATTCCCAGGGTTGTAAAGCTGGAGCCACGAGTTTTATCTTCCCTCCAGAGACACATGTTTACATTCCAAAAGGTAAGAATCCCAGATCCTTCCCAAGTTGCATTTGTCTACATTGAGAATGTAAGATGTCTCCTCCGTCTCTCAGAGGGGCTTCGGGGGAGACAGCTGTCACTCTTCTGTCTAACCATCCAAATTCGTATTTTTGGAGTTCCTCACCTACGTTGTAGACCAAGTGTAAGATGACGTCTGGTTCTCATTGCATCACCCTGAAAGGGGATATGGGGAACCAGTTCAATAATTTTCTGTGAGTAAATAACAATCTGCTCTGCTCCAGAGACCTCGTATTTGCATTCAGGATAATATTGATAAATATAGATATTAAAATTTTTGAGCTGGCTCAGATCTGTGTTAAAATGCAGATTCCAGGTCAATTCCTCTATTGCCCTCCCCCAGATTCTAATTCAGTAAATCTGGGTGCCCATGACCTGTACTTAAACAGCTCCCCTGGTGATTCTTACCAGGCCTAGGGATTAAAAAGTGCTTCTTACAGATGACAGATCTGTTTCTGCTAGCACGCTTCCTTAAATTCAGTTACTGTACCACCCCTCCTCCCACCTTTTGATAGTATGTAGGTGGGTTTAAGGATACAATTTTTTTTAGTTTAAATGTTGCGACGAAATTGAAGATTGCCATATCTCTGGTTGATCTTTTTTATCCTTGCACACCCCTTTGTTTTGTTTCCTTCTTAAAGATAAACACTGTTAAAATCATCATATCTTCTGGAATCTTTAGTGTGAACAACAATTTCACTCACCCAACCTGCTGATCTCAATATTTTACCAAAACTTCACTGACTTCTCCATTTAATCATCATTCTTATAATCCCTTTACATTTGTATCTTCATAGTTTGCAAGATGTTTTTACATTTACTGTCCTATTTGATTCTCACAAAAATATCTGGGAATAAATAGGAGTTATACTATTTATATAAATTTGAAATATATAGCATTTCAAAATATATTTGAAATGAGATATGAGAAGACTGAAATACAGTATTCATGTGGGACAGAAGTTGTCTAGCTATGGTGTTTAGGCACTTTAAATTGCAAGATAATCTCTTTGTTGCCATGATATCAACAGCTATAAAATAATAGGTGTTCCATCAGATATCATTTGGACTAATTGGGGCTGACCCTACTTCTTCCAAGATGCACATAAACTGCTGCCCTTTCCTGCTTTGGTTCCTTGAACTCCTGGCCTCAAGCGTCCCAAAATGTTGGGATTACAGGTGTGAGCCACCACACCAAGCCAGTTCCTGATAATTATTTTTCTCTTAACCAAAAGATAACTACAAATATTAAAGTGTCTACATTAAGAGAAAAAAATCTGTTTTTTTCTCTTATGTTGGAAGGGATAAATGCCTTTGAATCCTTGATTGATTGATTGAGTCAGCGTTTCGCTCTGTTTCCCGGGCTAGAGTGCAGTGGTGTCAGGATAGCTCCCTGCAACCTCAAACTCCTGGGCTCAAGTAATAGTAGTTGTTACTACAGACAAACGCCACCACACCTGCCTAATTTTTTCTATTTTTAGTAGAGACAGAGTCTCTCTGTTGCTCAGGCTGTTCTTGAACTCCTGACCTCAAGAGATCCTCCCACCTCGGCCTCCCAGAGTGTTTAGGATTACAGATATGAGCCACCAAGCCCAACCTGAATCCTTTAAATGTTAAACAATACTTTAAAAAAAAAATGTTAAACAAGACTTTTATACTTCGACAGTTTTCAAAGCACTTTCCCACATATGCTCTCATTTAATTCTTAACAACCACATATGAGGTACATAGAAGTAACCACTTTTTACAGATGGAGAACCTAGAGTTTGGGAGAAAGCCTCAGGCCATGTGGCCTGGAGGTGGTAGACCCTGACCTCCAAGTGGGACGTGAGGGTTTCAGGTCTCGGGCTCCTCCTGTGAAAAGACACTAAGATTATGATGAAAAACCAATAAGCTGAATGTTCTGCTTAAAGTCTCATGAGCCCTGAAATTTTAAATTATTTAAATATATCATTTTCTAAAGTCTCAGACCCTTGGGAACATGAGTTCAGAGGAAAACAGAAAAGAGTGCTGGTTATGAGCTAATATCACCGGCCGTAAGGCACTGATGTATCGCCAGATAGAGGCAGTGCTGTGATGACTAACCCACCTAATAGCAGTTCCTAAAAGACTGTGCCCCTCCCTGATTATAATTCATCTACATACACTTATTAAGAACATTTAATAAAAATTCACCATGGCAATAGCAATACAAAAATGTTGATCATTGTCATAGAATCCATTTAGATGCAAAAAAGATAGCTATTAAGACCTAGTGTTATAGTCAAAAGGGCAAAAGTTTTACTCTGTTAAGCAGAACAATTTCTCAAACTTTTAATTGCAACTGTATTCAAAGTTTTTTTCAGAATTCAGTTTAATAAGTCTTGTATCTGCCCTTTCTCTGTCTAACACACCATTCTTTTTACAAAACAGGATCTTCAGAGGCAGGCTGGAAAACTGGAAACCCAAGCCACCCTCCGCAGCTCAGGCCTCCACTCGCTCCCCTTGCATGCCTTTCTCGTGGTTTAACGAAAGCCGGAAAGGATCCTATTCCTTCAGGAACCTGCCTTCACCTACAAGTCCCCTTCAGCCTTCTCTCACGACTCTAATTTCAGATAAAAAGGGGTCCAAGGTAGAATACACGTGGATTAAAAAAGCAAACGAGTAACCCAAACCCCTCCTCCTCTTCCATGTTGGGAAGGCATTCTCAACTGGTGTGTGTGGTCTGGATCTGAGAAACCCATGTGATAACACTGCAATAAACAATGCATGGTATTTCTTTTGTGGGGGAAAAGGAAGCCTCAATTAACCATCGCCTTCTTTAATACTTTTCTATTCTAGATTCTACATTACTCTTTGATTTGCCTGTCTTTTCACATATTGCTATTTAATCTCAGTTTGACAGTTAAGCCATGCTGGGAAAGATGCATTTGAATCATAGAACAGAATGATAGATCTGTTTACCAAGTAATCTACTTTAAATTACATTACAAAACTATTTCACTGTGCTCTTCGTGATTTACTGGAAAACAAATAAATTTGGGACTGAATATGTGTTCAGTTTCATATAAATGAAACTCTTTAAGACAAACCAATGCTGATCCTTACTACTTCTTTTAATCAAACTTCCATGTTGAGCAACTGTTGTAATTCTATCACAAAGTTCTTTAACTTTAGCAGAATTAGGAATTACATGCATGGGTTTTATTTGTTTTTAAATGCATCGTGGTTATTTCCAGCATGACACTGCAAACCTTATCTAACATTGTATCGAAACACAAACGGTGGCTAACTTTCACATGTTGTTTGGTCTCCTTTTGTCTGTGTTCACTTTTCTTTCTCAAACAGAAACGTGATTAATGTTACTTGAATTTAATTCTTTTCTTGAGGTCAACAGCTCTCAAAGGGTTTAGGCTAGGGTTTGGGGCTGTGTCTCCATTGACAAAACCAAATGGTAATATTCTATGTTAAATGCCCTGCTGTTTAAATGTTCTACCGGCTCTGATTTAGACTCCTTTTCTGAAGTTTTAGCAAACCTTGGCATTTGTTTGGTACTAATTCTCCAGCCTCTGTCATGGTATTTATTTTTGATAGCCAACTAAACCAAATACAAGGGAACCTGATGGAAAACTAATAGTCCAATTCCTAAGGAAGTAGAATATGAAACAAGATGGTATTGGCCAAATGCTTAGAGTTCCTGAGCACTTGGCCGTTCTAGAATCATTAGCAAAAGAAGTTTTGACAGCAGTAGAGCACTTTGATCTTGAAACATTTTCAGTATTGGATCTGAGACATCTAAACGTTCCTTGAATAATTGTACCATTATCTTGCACTGAAGAGACTCCAGATTTGGTTTAAAATGTTTTCACAAATGCAGCTACGTAGTCATTGTGAAGTTGTTTTGATTTTAATATCCACTGAACATTTTGATGAAGTTCTGGGAAAATTGTCTTTACACACTTCCACCTCCCCCAGCCCCAGGTGCTTATGTGGAAACGTGTGTCTGTTCTGTGCCACTCTGCTGGTGCCATGAGAGAGTTGAATTTTAACATGTAACTACTACTGTATTGTCAGACTGTGACCTCCCCTGGAACTCATCATCTTGAAGGGTACATCTAGGAGAGGATCTGCCATTTCTCACAGTATTTATCATGGCCAGCAACAAGAGATCCCTCCCAGGGGGTGCTCTAGCTACCTTTCTAATATTAATTGCCATCTGTTCTAATAATTCAGCCTCTCCACACCATCTTGTATTTTTACTTACACTGTTACTCATCACTATTAGGGTCAAAGAAGATAGGCTTATTAATATTACTCCTCTGAACAGTTGCAGAGGATAATGAATTCTGTACCCTTGAAGAGAGATTGAAGAATCATTTTTCTAAAACACCTATCCTTTCATCAGATGGAGAAAGCGCCCAGAATTCCCTGTCAACCGCAGAAGGGACAGTGTTCTCAACCACTGCCCCATTGAAGGTCATCCCCAAACCAAACAAGAATTTCTTCTTAGATTGTTTAAAAAGAGGCTTTTAGAACTTGCAAATGCACCTACCTCTGCATCATTCCCTGTACTCATTTAACACTAAACTTCATTTATTTTTACAGAGTTTTACCTTCAATGATGACTTCAGTCCCAGCAGCACCAGTTCCGCAGACCTGAGCGGCTTAGGAGCAGAATCCAAAACACCAGGACTCTCTCAGTCCTTAGCGCTGTCATCTGACGAGGTACTTCGATGGCACCATGATGGAACTGCTTTCTCAAATTGGACGTTTTACTCATGAGCTATCACTGGGAAAATGTTTTTTAGTTTAGATTTTGCATAGAAATAATCAGGACCATGGTTTTATATTTAATGTGAAGTCTTCATGACTTCTCTCCCCCTGTCTGGCAGCATGAAAGCCCAGTGTTGTTTCTTTACACTTTCCAGGGACCCCTTTTACATATATATGTAAACACATATGGTAGGGAGACTGGGCACTAGAGAGCAGAAATGGGGGAACAGCTCAGGAATCACATGGAAGTTTGCATATTATCCACTCCCTTTCCCTCTTGCTTCCCCCACAATCACCCCATCCCAGGATTCTGATACTCCCTCTGAATGGGGGCGGCCCCTGATTAAGAATCAGTGCAATGGAGAAGCACAGCTTTGATAAGGAAGGCAACCAGGGGGAGAAGCACTTATTTAGAAGCCAGGGTCAAAGTCAGCATCGGCTGAGAATCATCAGGAGATAAACACGTACAAGAGAGGCAGGAAACTGCATTAGCAAGTGACTTAGTTTCCGAAAAAGAGTGGTGGGGGTACAGGAAGCACTGTATATAAAGATATTTTTGTTCTAAATATTTGTTCTTATTGATTTCTTTCTAACATGATTTTTGTTTCATAAAACTATTTTTCTTTCTCGTAAACTTTTCTGCCCATGTTCTTCAAGCTTGGTGAGGTTTTAATTTTATTAAAACTGTGTGCTGTATATGTTGTGTCTGTTTCTGTAACACTTTTCTTCTTGATTCTTTTGTCGCTCCCTCACTCAGAGCCTGGATATGATAGATGACGAGGTGAGCTATCAGTGGGCTGTGTGTGGTGGTGTATGCGGTATTGTTTGAACTTGCTTTTCTCTCTTTGCAGATGATTTAAAAATCAGACAATACAAGAACGCTTTCCTCTGTAGTGGAGGGTTTCCTTGCGTTAAATAGCTTCAGTTTCCGCCTTTTTCTCTATCTTAGTTTAAAAGATGTCCCTGAGTCAAGAGGATCTCCAAATTCCACCTCTAGAGTTCCTCGATGTATCTCCCATCACCATCACCTTGGCACAGCCCATTCTTTTTCACCTCCTGTTCCTCCCTCTCGGCTTACCCCATTCCCTCTTCTGTGTTCCCCATGTGGGTCACCAAGGTGACTCTGGTCTTTCCTCCAGGACCTATCATCACCTTCATCTTCTCTCAGCTTAGTGGTTCTAGGAACCAACCTGCCCCTTTGTACTATTAAAAGGCGTATTCTGCAGTGGACAGACAGAGCCAAAAGTCTGGAATAAACCCCTAACTGTTGAGCTCTATCACTTCCTAGCTGCATGATCTTGGACAGATCATATAGACTTTCTGAGCCTCAGTTTCCTCATTTATTTAAAGTAATTATGGGTATTACCTGCCCTACCTTCCTCACAGGTTTTCTTGCTACTCAAGTGAAATAATGGTGGTTAAATTTTCCCTAAGAAGGCTAGAGGGCTTAATGCTCTCTTCAAAGTGAAAGATACCTCAATATTTTTTAATGTATTTTTACAAAACTCTAATTTCTTATCAGTGGGTAGATGCAGAGTGATGCACTCATTGCATGTAGAGGTTTATGAAATATTTATTTTCTACATCTGATAATATTTCCAGAGGATTTTAATGTAAAAGCTTGCAACATTAGAGTGTATTTCCTTAAACTTTCTACACTAACAATTCTGCTTTATTTGGGGGAATTTTTAAATTTCCAAATATCTAAAAACATGTAGGTAATAAGTATGTTTCTTTCTAACACAGCTAAAACCATTAGCTTATCATTTTATGGTTTAAAAATAATTGTGGCTCTCCTAGGTCAAGAAATTCCTTTTGATAGCATCATATGAGCCATAGCATTTTTTTCCTTTAACACCACTGCATAACATTCCTATCTCAGATCCTTGATGATGGACAGTCTCCCAAACACAGTCAGTTTCAGAGTCGGGCCGTACATGAATGGAGTGTGCAGCAGGTTTCTCACTGGTTAATGAGCATAAATCTGGAGCGGTATGTATCTGAATTCTGTGCCCAAAACATCACTGGAGAGCAGCTCCTGCAGTTGGATGGAAATAAACTTAAGGTAAAGAATTATATGTCTATGTTAGGTTACCAGGTATAATTTGTATTGCTCATAGTACCTAAAATGTTTTCATTAGATAAGAGCATTCTGCATATCTGAGAGGTAATTCTCATCAAAAGTCAGCAGAAAGGATGGTGAATTATTTCTAAGTAGTAAATGAAATTTCAGAAAGTCCATCAGGGGTTCTAAATCAAACGGTAGGCTGCCGAATAGAAGAGCTAGGGACCCACTCCATTGCTTCCACCTAGCAACACATGGCCCATATATTAACTCTGCTTACTTACTTTTGATATAATATGAGTTTTAATAATGGTCAATGTGGACTCTTTTCATCGCATTAGAGTTAAGACCCAGATCCATGAATCTTCTTTTTCTTATTCATGTCTCCTTCACCCTCACTCTTCCCCATGTACCACTCCAAAACAGGGACGATATCTCCCCAGAACTTATTTCCCCGAAAATGTGCAGGCCGTGTCTTCCCTCCCCCCTCCATTGCATTCTCATTTCCACTCATCCAGTCCATCGCTCTCAGAGACCAAGGTGCCACCCACCCCTGTGGGAAAGGGCAAAAGGAGCTTACAGCAAGTGGCTTGCACCCTCCCCACCAACACCTCCCCCCTGCTAGGCTGATGGGCAGGTGAGTATCTCTTGACAGTCTTGAAAAGGTTAGAGATCAATCAATAGCTTGTGAATATGAAGGCTCCATTGACAAGGCTGTCCCTGTTGGGGAGATGGATGCATCCCGCTGTTGATTCTGAAGGTCACGAAACATTTAAAGTACATAACCAACTCCCCTTATTCTGAATTCCAAGCTCATCGAGCAACCTCCTCATTATAATCAGCCTTCCTTTATAGGTCTGCCTACAGGGAGAGAATGGCTAGTCATGCTGACATGAGCATTCTGGCCCCAAAGACATTTTTGGTTCTCATTGTAAATGAATACATTGGCAGAAAGGAAGCCATTTCAATTCTTCTTGCCCTTCTTGGAGCCCTCTGTGGCAGCAGGTGCCCACTTGTACCCTTTGAAAATATCGATGAGGTTAGCAATACTTTTACCTGTAAATGTCTATAGCCCAAAGGTTGGAGGAGTCAAACTATACCCTTTTTGCATTCATTCACCCATTAATTACCAATTTGGAAAGCATTTACTTAATGAGCTTTAGAATGTACTTTGCAAGGGATGTTGAAGAACAAAAGAACAAATAAAGCACAGCCCCCCAGCGTATAAATCAGGTCTTACCTCTTCTACCTATGTTTAGTTTATGAGCCTGAACATATTGTGATATCAATGCCATCAGATGGGGCCATTGGTTTTCAAATTCACTTTGTGTTTCCTTCTTAGGCTCTTGGAATGACATCATCCCAGGACCGAGCCACAATCAAGAAAATGCTCAAGGAAATGAAGATATCTCTAGAGAAGGCTCGGAAGGCCCAAGAGAAAATGGAAAAGCAGAGAGAAAAGCTCAGGAGGAAGGAACAAGAGCAAATGCAGAGGAAGTCCAGGAAGTCCGAAAAGATGACATCAACTACAAGGGAGGGCGCTGGTGAGCAGTAATACACCCGCTCTCTTACAGAAATTCTCTCATCTTCCTGCCCTGTTCTCCTCTGGAGGATGAAGAGAAACTGATTATAGGGGTAATTCTACTCTAGGCAAATTAAAGAACCATGTGTTGAATGACTGCATTTTCTGCAATAGAATGGACTCTTAATTTCAACCTACTGATATAATCCCCAGCCACCTTTGGTTTATTAACAAACCAGAGATCTCATTTGTGAGAGATACAAAGTAGTTGTGTTTCTCTCTTCTCTTACTTACCAACGTCTTGTGTTGTGTTGGGTGTGTTGTGTCACTTGGAGAACTGGCCCAACGAGAGCATGACATGCCCTGATGTTGTTAATGGATCACTGCCTTTTCGGTATGGATCCTAAAACTGTGCCGTTGCACACATCTGCATGGCAGAGAGCACCCTGCCTTGAGATCTGGGATCACTACTTACGTCTAGGGCTGCAGAGTCCACTCCAGTGTGTAGGAACAGTTCCCCTCAATTCTTTGTCTGGACAGTGAGACCACCCTGCTGGGGAAGTATGGGTGCTCTGCCACACAATGACGTACTAAGGGAAAAGGCAAGGAAGCTGTTCTGCTTGCTGGGCATCAGAATGAGAGAAAAGAATTATAGTTATGTGTTAACTATAGAAGAAAGCAAAGGCCTTAAGAGTGTGGATGTCGGTATTACCTTGGGGGTCTGAGGGTATCATTTATCCTCCAGATATAGCTGAACAGGGGAGAAAAAAATCAGACTTTAATGCAGCTGTGGAACATTGGGATCTGTTGTTTACTTTGCTACCGCTGCGTTTTCAGTATTTCAGCAACACTGGCAAACACAACACAGTTCCTTTCTTTCCCCCAACAAATTGAACAGGAAATTGATTTTTAAGGAAACCACCATTTTCAGGTTTCCCCTCCTGGGAAACATTCTGGCTGGTCTTCAGCCCGCCTGTGACACAATCAGGAACTCATCACATATTTTCTACTCAAGATATCCCAAGTGGGCTCAGTTACTGTTTTAACAAATGTACTTTTAAGAAAAATAGAAATACCAGTTAGAGAAAATTTAGATTTGAGTAACATTCAACCAGAGAACCGGTTTTTTTGAACACAAAGAATGTTCCTGGAAAGGAGAGCTGTCAGTTGTATTTTAGAGATATTTTTCATGGTTTTTCTGAGCCATTCCCTTCCACACGTTAGAGATTTCCACTTTACAGTTAAAATTTGTGCAAGGCAGTACATAGGGTGTACATTAGTAGCGGAGGAATTTATACTTAATTTAAAGCCAGTATTAAAGAGTTCAGTATTTCACCAAAGTCAAGTGCAGGAGACTGGGGCAGAAGGAGAAAATAAGCTCATCTTGAGATATTTCAAATGAAAAGGGGTTTATTTTATTTATTTGTTTGTTTACCTGTTATGCTTATGTTTCTGGTTCTCTTTGGTACGTTGGCTCTAAATATGAGGTCATCCACTTTCCAAGGGACAAGTTTCAGAGTAAGACTTGAGGTCACGTGACTTGTTGGACAAGTATTTTACTTCCTTTACTACGTGGAGGTGTCTGCTTTGTTCCCAGCACTGTCCATATCCCCGCTGGAAGTGTAGGGCTTGGGGGAAAGCTTTCAAGCATTACAGGTGACAGATAAGGTAAGGGGACTCCTACCCTTATAGCCCCATCTCGTATTTTAAACATCATGGTTTGATTTATTTTATTTTATTTTATTTTTTGGCTTATCTGAATATCCAAGTTCTGGAATTGTCTAAATTAGAAATTGTTAATTGTGTTCTTTCCTCGAGGCCTGTCTCCTTTTCAGTGCCAGAGTATTGTCTGTTATGCTTCAGCCCCTTGTCACTAGGTACAGATCGTTTATTCAGCCCTCAGAAACATCAACATAAAGTAACTCTGTATTTTACAATGATTAAAGTCACCACTATATTTTTCTCTCTATCTTCCTTTTGGGGTATTATAACAAAACTGCCATATACTATTAATATACTATTAATATTTTGAGATATCTGGTGCTTTGCTATTTATTAATACCATGAGAAATAGGAGCCACTATTAGTGAACTATAAAATTTGGCAAATCTTTTCTAATACTAAAAAACTAAATTAGTAAAAATCTGGTAATACTAGTGCTTGCTATTGTAAATGTTTGCCATTTTTGCTGATCTTTGGGAAAAAAGTGACCTGGATCACACTGGAAGTTTCACTATATTCATTTCAAGAGTGGAAATAGAAGGATAATTATCATAAGTTATGTTTACACTCGGGTAATATTTGAAAATGGATGTACATATTGGAAATGTCTGTAAGTCTCTGTCTCTGCACCTAATTTATGATCTGTTATATTGCATTTTCTTAAATGTCTTAGAAGTATTTGTAACTTTATTTGTACACTTACAATGTTTAGATGAATGTCCAACTGACAATGTTATATATCAAATTCTTTTTCTTTAAATCATTTAGTTTGTATAACTATTTTGATTTTTTTAAGTTAAATTATAGTAAATTTAGGTCTAAATGAATTATCTTAACATTACTGCTTAAAACTGCTGACATTGTAAAAGACACTTGATTTTATTGTCCAACAAAGGATAAAATGTAAACTGCTTGATATAAGAGTATGAAAACAAAGTGAAAGACCTCAGATCTTGTGAGCATTTTGTTTTCCTATTATTTCTTTTATTGACTATAGTGCATGATACTTAATTGAAAGTTCCAATGTCTTGCACAATTGCTACTTTAATGCTAGTGGTTTTCAGTGTCCATACAATTTAACACAGAATTGTCGCTTCATGAACCTTAAAAACTGCAGTTTTTTATTAGCAGAAAATGAACAAAAAGGGAATATCTGGTTACTATAAACTTTATTCTCTAAAAAAGAGCTCAGTATGACTCTAACAATAGCCAAAAGTGTTTTGGGGATTAGGTTATGCTTCGTGGGGAGGGGATGTGTGGAGAGGCCAAGCCCTAGACAGACAGCATTGTATGAGTTGTATCTGGGTTATTTCTAGTACAGGACTTTAGTTTTATAACAGATTTCTTAAAGACCACCACCCTTAAAGTAACTCACAGTTTATGTAATACTTTTCTTATTTTTTTTCCTGAATCAGAAGTTTACTTCAGAGTGTTAAGTTAGGGCAGAAACCTCATTTCATCCATTCTAACACTTTGACGAAGTTCACCTTTAGTTTCATGACAATAAAGCTATTCTGTGGCTCGCATCCTTTAGCTGGGATTGACATCGATTTCCCAGATGCAATATCACATAAGCCTTTTTAGCCCATGGCACTTGATGATTACAGCGTCATAGGTGCTAATAACTAAACTCTACTTTCGACTGACATAAAATGGAACCGTCTATGGTGTGTTCCTTTGTTGCTGGAAATGAGGAACCAACCCTTGCCACTGCCTGTGACCCTATAGTCATCTCTAGCCTGAAATCTTAAAATATCCCAGGCCCAAGCTACAAAAATGATCACAGGATGTTTGTTCTAGCACCTCAGCCTTTATGGTTTTTGCTGAAGACAAAGAAAATCTAGGTTCTTTGTGCAGTAGGGTTAACATGTGCTTGAAAATTACGTTTTAGAAAAGGTAAATGAAAATTTGCATTTGTATATGTATTCTAATTCATTTATAAATATTAAAGGTTATATAGACTAAGCTTCAAGAGGAGACCCAATGTTTAACAATAGTGGTCAAAAAGATTCTAAAGGAAGGTGTCCCAATAATTCTAAGAGAAACATCTACACTTTGGATGTGTTGTAGCCCCCTCGTTACACTGAGATTTCTAAGAATTACCAAATTCTACTTGCATAACTAATGGTACTCCCAACAGAGCTAGAGATGAGTGGCACTTTTGTGGACAATAGTCACTAGGGTTCATGTTACCTACTTCATGCAAAGACCTTAGTGTTTTCTGAATTAAAAGGTAAAATGGAAAAGCCCAGTCTTTTTATCTTTTTAAATTTATCTTCAATCAAGCATCTACCTGTGCACTATTCTAAAGCTAAGCATTTAAGGATGAGTTCTAGAAAGAAAATGTCCATATGTTCTACTAGAATTGTTTTGATTATTATATGGGTGGGGGGAAGTAAATTCTCAAAAGAAAGTAGTGTTATGAGAAATCTGAATGTGCTTCAGTGATTTCATTCCTGAAAACCAGCCTGGGTATGTTGGCAGATTTTGTTTGCATTTGTCTTGGGTATTTAAAGTCTCAGGAAATTTAATCTTGGTCCAAAACACTGGGGAAAAAATAACACCAGACAAAACACATTTGAGTAACTTGAAGTAGCAGCATAGAATAGGCCCAACTAAGAAACAGAGAGCAAAGAAAAATCCTGTAGAATCAGTTTTCCCCTGGAAAGCAAAAGCATCAAGTTCTATTTATGGTACACAGAGGGTCCTCACGTGCTTGCGCGTGGGTGTCTGTGTGGTCTTGTTGAGGAAATGGTTGTTACTTGAAGGGTCACATATGTGAGCATATGGACCATGCACAGCCTGTGACCTGCTTCCAGATTCTCAGAGTAGGGAGTGAAATGAACATGATAATTTCCAATGCTTGAGCCTACCCCAATCCCAAAACCACTAGGGATTCAACAGTAAGACGTAAGGAATAAGAGAACAACAGACAACTTCTTGATAACGTGCATGCCGTTTGCATAGATGTTCAGAACTACTTATGTGTGGAGTATAACTCCCACCTTATACATATACACACAAGCCACAATCATGGCATAAAATAATGTGTATAGAACTTGATAATGTCAGTTAGGACCCCAAGCTGTAATCATAGCCTTACTGCCACTTTTTGTGTTGTGTATACATTGAATGCTCATAGATTTTAAAAGATTTTTTGATCTAAGTATTTCTACTAAATGCACTTATCCTTCTACATGTTTATATATTTTGGTAAAATTGATTTATTAGATACTTGGTATTTTAGTATGATAAAATGTCTTCAAATGTTTGGGTAATGCTTTGATGTGAAGATTGCACATTGCTGAGTTAGAGCTCAGA